GCGTCAGAAACTACCTACAAAACTCCGTATCTATTCCGAGACGGACCGGGTGCTATTCTTATCAATGATCGCGAAGTCGCCATAAACCTTATCCGCGGAGTAATAGGAACTCGTATCCTAGGAGAGCCCCCAGAGGGAAGTCCATCAGTTGGAGCGGAAATTCGTTCGTCCCGCCGCCCGCCGCGAAGCGGATCGGGTGACTTGCTCGCTCGGTGACTGGATCGCTCGCGGCCCGTATCGATGTGATTTCGGTGATGGAAATCATCGACGAGAGGCCCTGCTGGAATCAGGATCCCGCCTGATCTCCGCCGTGATCATTCCGGGTACACCCCACGAGATCCGTCACCCCCCATCTGATTGGCATCCGACTAATCGTCGGGAACCATGCTTATCCCGGTTTCCAGTTTTCGCCTCCATCGCAGAACCGGGAGAACAACTGGCATTGACGTGGGTGTTATTGTTGTGGACGCTTTCGTGTCTTCGTCCCCGCCGCCGCGTGCGTACCATCTCGACTGCAATTCCATCACCACCAACAACAACGAGAACAGATATCCACCAACAGTTCAATAAATTCTCGCGATGACTTAGAATTTTACGAGCAAGCAACGCACACCGCTGTTGTCCACAAATTTTCAACGCGGAGGTCTACGCGATCGACCGACGACTGCTTGCTTTATTGGCGACTTGACTCGTTTCTTTCTCGTTGACTCGCCGCCGTGCTTGCCTTACTGTTTGTCTGACTCCGTCTCTATCATATATCAGAACGAAACCAGACATGATTTGCTTCATAACGGAAAGCTTCTCCGTGCGATTCCCTTGTTTCTCTCCTTCAGGGTCTGGATGACATTCTTCAACTCGTGTGCTTTCGTGGCCCGCACGCGAAGTTCATCTGACTGAGACGTTCGCGTATACTCATTCTTCTTCCACAGACCCGAGGTCCACTCTCGGGTGTTCTTACGCGCTCAAAAGTCAGGATTATACGATGATTGTGATGATTCGATGATTATCATTGATGAAATACGCTGGGTTTCATGGTAACTGGTCAATTCGCTAGGTTTGCAGCTTCGATATAGAAATCGAAGATCCATGTAGGGGTGGATGTTTTGCATTATTTGTCATCTTGCGAAAGCCGAGTTTTATGACCATAACAACATCCTCCCACCCCCTATTGGTCTGACATTTTTCGGAAACAATGGAACTCAATCCTTGTGATCATCATCCTTCATTCCGACGCCGCCGTTCAACCCCTTAGCGGATTCATTGCGTAATTACACAGCTCCGAGCGAGTCACCGATGGGGCATCGGTATCCGACGGTGAATCTCGGCCACAGCTCCGAGCTTCGTCCTCCGATCGCCACTAGAAGCGAGCCGTAGCGCAAGCGTGAGACAGACGGAAAAGAATCAACCTAGGCAGATGTTTCCTTCGGTGCTCGAGGATCGCCTGACGTACGCACAGCATAATGACGATTGACTCACGACCCTCAACTCGAGGATCACGCCGACTCCATTTGCAGTACATAGTTCAGACGCTGAAACAGCATCGCAAAGGATCTTTTGTTGTTTCTTCTCGTCTGGGGGCGTTTGTGGCAAGACGACGTATTCCACTTTCGTGAAATCGTCCGATGAATTATCATACATTGTGCGTATGCATGCGCATCCGTGTCTCGAACAAGCTGTCACATCGTCCGGAAAACCTCGAATAAATCCTTCCCAGCCAGGATGAGCATTTCTATGCAAAGTGGCGCGGATTAAGACGGACAATGGCGTATTCCGAGTGATTTGGTTTTTTTCCGAAATGATTCACGGCCCAAGACGTCGCAGCCGATCGATCGGGTTTCGCGTTCTGAAAGCGACGACAACCTTATTTCACGATAGAATTTGCGGCGTCGATGTCCGTGGCGCTCGAATCCATGAGTGAAGTTCAGAGAAGGATCAGGCAAGACGAAGTTTCCGTTCATTAGGATCATACGTCGGTGCTAGGCACGTGTTGGATATGTCTCGTCAAGGCAGTGTTCTCATGGTGGTAGGGTTCGTCGATACGGTGACTGCTGTGGTGTTGCTATCGTTGATATAGAGTGCGTATATTGGCTGGTATTCCTGTCCACATTTGTGCTTCCAGAAGTTAATAGCCGTCGGCTTCTCGTCTCGTACTTGGTGCGCTATGCTGGAGACCGCTCCCTGATCCGCGCGCGGACAAATTGCGAATCTACGTGACGCCGGCATAGACGGCGTTCGCTGCTCCTGCCGCCGTGGCTGCTGACTCTGTCGACAACGGAATCGTCGCTGCTGTTCTTCTCAATGAGAACTTAAGGCTGCCGGTGAAATGATTTTCGAATTTTAGACCGCTCGGGGAGAGTACCCGAATACCAACATTTGTCTGTTTAGGACTTCCTCGATGATGAGACTCGCTCTGGCGACGAGAGAAAAGATGCTTGAGTGCCAGGGGCTCTCCTCAAGGATCAGTCGGTGCTTAAAAATCGGCGATCGTTCAGGGTCCTCACGGCATGTTTCTGATTCATTCGATCTTTCTCCTTTCATTAGAAGGGTGAGATCTGAGCTCGACAATCTTCGACTTGAAGGAGCGAAGTATACCTTAACTAGTTCTGTTCGAGTCTTTCTGGATATCAGAGTCCCCGGAGGTCGGTACTCCATGCGACCCAGAGAATGAAATCGATTTAAAAGCGTTTTGAATCAGTCCACGTGATTGCACATCATGTTGTGGAGCGTTTCCGCATGCGCATAAGCAGACCTCCCAACGCGTTGGTTAAGCGAATCGACCAGCATCTATCAAATATAGTTCCCGATGACAGCCGCTCCGCTTGTCATCGGCCATGTAGATCGTTAGAACGTCCGGATCGCGGTCGGTGTTGCCATAATTAATGTACAATCGCCATCCATCACGATCATCGAGTGAGCTATGCTCCGAAACTCTGAGCGTCGGCCCTTCTGAGCTCGATGAAGATTGAATCAGCACATTCCATGAAGAGCATCCGAAGGAGAACTGTCGTTCGGGTCGAAAGTATGCGTCGAGCTCGAAGTCACGTGGACGCGATGCGAGAATGACCACGCAGGGGCACGTGTTCCATAGGAAATTGATGGCTACGCTGTACTCGCATACACGAACACACACACTCCTATTGCAAAAATCAATCCAGGTCGGGTTATCCGAAAGAAGTAGACGGCGTTCTTCATGGGATGATCGAACAGACGGATGGATCGACGACTAGTTTGACGACGCAAATTCGAATTGACCGTCCGTTTGTGGCTGGGTGCGGAGTCGAAATGAGGAATCGTTCCATTAATTCGTTCATCATAACTCCAAAGGCCATTCACTGATTTCGTATTCCGAGCCAGCCTCGCCGCTTTTGCTACCGTCAGCCGCTGTTTTCTGCCTGGTCGATACTTGGAAAACGGTCATCTCGATTCATCTGAGGCGAGACCGTGTTCGAGCCAAGGATCCGATTCAACTCTCCGGACGAAAAGCACAGCCGTTGAGTCGACATTGGAGCAAAATTAAAAGTTGCAGCTCTAAAACGACAAATTGAGTTGCCAATCAGATTGACCGACCAGCAGTCGGCCGCGCGCTTGCTCCCTTGCTGGACAAGGGTGCGGTTGAACGATTGTGCGTTAGCGTGAGGTATAATACCCTGCTGCCGACAAAGCAGCCGCCTGCGACGCGACTGCTGCGAAGAGTAACCCACCGATCTTCAGCCGATGTTGTTCCTGAGAATGGTCACCAAGCGACATCTCGAAATCACATACTCGATTCTCATGGGTCGAACCAGCGGAAAATCATGGAGAGTCGCGTTCTTGACGTCCTGAGTTTCTCTGGGAACCTATTGCTCTGCCGCTCGGAGAGCGAATCTCCTGGATGAGTCGAGGTCGAGGAAATTCGCTCCGCAGATCTTGATTGGGTCGAATCTTCCAGGATCACTCGCGAAAACCCAACCGGGAATTCCTATCACCCTCCCCCTTCCAAAATTGTACTTTGATTATTACCAGGCACACAACTCCCATCCTGACGACTTTGCAAACGCTGGGTCGAGACGCAGCTGTCGAAAATTGCCGCGAGGAAAACATTTTCTCCTACGACTTCATTATGGTTCTGACGGATGGACTTCCAGACCCGACACTCCGAGCGTCCCCGAAAGCGCTTCGACGAGCTCGGGGGACGTTCCTGCGTCGTAGCTTCACCGAGGTTGTCCACTGACGTGTGCAAGCCCGTGCGATATGTCAGAGTTCTTGGATTTTCTTAAGACTCAGTTCAGGTAGTTACCCAATGCCTGAGTGGACTAAGGTGAGCTCAGGGATATTCGCTTGGATAGCAATCTGTCGAAGGCCGCAAGCTCAGAACGCGACGGTCAGGGGGCTACTCCATCGGGGCTACTCCGGCTCGGAATCGAGACTCTGCTGGATCGGCCGGGAGGGAGATGGAACACACAATCCTCGCGCTGCCCCGATGGTTCCGCATGCTGACATCCTCTCCATTCAGAATGATAATCTCGAATGTAGATCTCACAGAATGGAACCCGGAGCTCGAAACTCGGCAGAGATCCTGTTAAGAATTTGGCACGAGTCGCTAATAATCGACCGAAAAAAACCCGGCTAGAACTGGCAGTCACGGGAATCGGAACGATACAGAAGTACATGTATACAATCGTGACCTTTCCGACGAGAGGAATCACGATTTCGACCTCAGCGAGACCTTCCAACCGACTTGGAGCACCGGAGTTCGTCCAAGTCCTTCGTGGCGATTTTTTGAAATTCGGGATTGTCTGACTGACGGAAGCTTCTTCGGACAAGAAGTTCCGATCATGGGCAACGAAATGAATTCGAGGGAGGGGCGAAGCCCCTGGAGTATCTCTAAACCGGCGAGGAGCACGGAGGATCCATATTCCCTCTATCTGAGCGGGGTTCCCGAAAGCATAGGGTCTTTTTTGTTATTTCGCTCATTGTCAGATCTCAGTCGGCCTCATTCTATCCGTGTCCTATTTACTCACATCTTGGAAATCGGCCATGTTGTTGGGTCGACCCTGGGCTTGAGGGTGGGACATTTGCGGCTGTTGGGATACGGGGGGCCCATGGGGAGCACCCATGGTCGGCATGGCCGCCTCTTTTGGGTAGCCGTCCAGAACAGAGGCGCTCATGTCCGGCCTGGTCGAAGGCCCTTCGGCGCCGCTGTTCTCGCTTCGCCGCGAACAGGCTGTGGTCTTCTGATGGTTGTTCGAGCTCTTCGCCCTCTATCCTCTAAGCACTCAGTTTTTCCGTCCGCTCCTGCACTTCAGACCGATCGCGGTCCGATTTTGAATTGTTGCACTGTCTGTTGATCTGTCCGACGGAACTATCAACGCACGGAACACATGGCAGCCCGAGACGACGCCACCGACTGACGCAGATCGCGCTTCACGCTTCCCTCGCGGCAGGCGGGCTGAAGAGGAGATTCAGAAGGAAGAAGGAGCCGAAGTAACGGGAGGAGCTTACGTTCTGAAGGAGGCGCTTCAGTCATTTACTGGACACTACTTTGTCGTCGTCGTCGTCGTAGTGAACCCTTTCAATCATTGATCACTGGAGTGATTCACCCGATCTGGGAGACTTCTTGATCGCTTCAAGATTGAGAGATGATGAGTCGATCAATCGATCGTTCGATCGGTGGCTCCGTCTGCCTGTCCGTCCGTTGACTCGGAATGTAGAGAGCGAGTGACGACTATCTGACGGTTGTGTCTTCGAGGCACCCAGAAGAATACCCATGCCGCTGCTGTCCGTGGCAGCCAGTCGATCGCCGTCACAAACGCTCCTTGTACACACAACTCGTTTGCGGTGATCAGCTTTTGGTATATCGCGAACACGAATGACCCCCCAGTAGGAATCGTGAAGGCTCCCGAGGTTCGTCGCCTCCGGAGTTTCACCCGATTGTACCTACACTGCCGATCGAGTTTCGGAGCTGGTCTTCCCGTGGATTCGGGCTGGAATTCCCGGCTCTTCGGAGACTTGGTTGGAAAAAAATTCTCTACGGGTATCGCGTTCGTGAGGAGCAATTCTGACCGCTCTGAAGGTGTCCCGGCCGCGAAATTTCTGTGCTCAGAAATATTTATCGATGAGTTCATAGCAGGAACAAGCACGAGTATGAAGCGAGCGTGAGTCACATCTCATGGATGGAATCTGCGAACGAATTTGGCACAAATGTCAACAATGGTCTTGCCGCTTGCAAACCTCAACTTTGCTGGCGCTGCCGCTGCGACCGCCGACGGCGCGGCGGCGCTGCCAACGTAGACGCATGACAATGTTTCGATGAGCAGGCATGCATCAGCTTTGTCGATTTGTATTTCTTCAAACTGTGTCGTTTTCTTCTCCTCATTTCTCTGCACTAGACTTTCTTACTGTTTCTCTCTGCCCGTTTCACGGCGGACCGCTCGACGGCTACGGCAACTGTGTCTTTGACGATGCCAACGACAACAAAACCACCGAATCCCGCCCCTAAAGTTTCCCGAACAAAGCCACGGTCGCGGTGCAGTTGCGCCCCAGATTGTGCAAAGATTTTCGAAATATTTCCACGAACATTGACAAGTGCCGGCAGTTGTCGACCTGGCTCACCATGCATGAGAAACAAACGGTTTCCTCTCCTTTGCGTATTGAAAACGTTCGTATTGCCTCGATGCCGATCCGGCCGGCGCTTTTCCGTGTAAATCTAATGACTCCGGGCGGAGAGGAGATGCCTGTGTACTAATTTGAGTGAGGGAATTCGAGAATGAATTCAACTACATATAGTCGTTCCGACTTCCGGGACCCGAATCGTCCGAGGGTCATACCTCTCCAAGTCTGTTTCCTTCATTTATTGAAGATCCGATCGAAGTCTTAGGAGAACCCCGGCAAGTGAATGAGCTTCGTTCATCCCGATTCGCTCCCTCCCGGAGCAGTCAGTGTCAGGAAAGCCTCCGAAGGGCACGATACTCATTGAATTGACAAAATTCCCCGGGGCAACAGTATCACTGCATCTAGAGAGGATCCTCGCTGTGATTTAAGTTGTTCTGCACCCCTGCTTCGTGAGAAGACGCTCAACTATTTCGATATTTCAGTCAGCTTGTATGACCGATGAAACATTCGGATGGGAGAAGGATCTTCTCCTACCTGGACCTTCGATTCGCTAAGAATCAACGCAGTCACGCGGGGGCTTGGGTTCAATATGTAATCTTTTGTTTTCCCAGGTCCCTCAATAAAGTGGATCGTTTTTCCGGACACTGAATTTGGATCGAGTCGACGCCAAGGGCCCTCGCGAAGTCAGACGGGAGTCTTCTCTGCTTGAATGAAGGATCTTTTCGCGTCTCATAAACTGCATCCGGAGCTGGCCGGCTCATCGGTGGCGCGTCTCGTGTCGGCGGCCAGACAGAGCGAGCGGATCATTGTTGCACCGAAGAAATGAAGCTTTTCATTGGCGGCAGCATAAACGTCCAGCCATTATGACGCTGGTCTTGCTAGAACTCGACAATGAATAGATGGATGAATGGATGAATCAATGAGAAGGAGGGGAGGCGGAGGGACTGCGGTCGGATGGCGTTGGATTTGCGATGAAATATGACCACATAGCCATATTTGGCTGCTAGGCAGCTGTACCGCCGGCGCGGCATCGTCTTCTTTCTCAACATTGCGATCGTCGTTACGTCTTCCATAGCGCGTTGAAGTCGAGTCGAGCTGTGGCGGCGTGTAATGGAAGCAAGCGAAGAAACCGATTTTCTCTGCTGCTGTGTTGCGGTCGCCCACGAGTTCACGCTGCTGACAAACGGATCCCGAGACTTGAGTTTGAGCGCGGCGTCCCACAACAGCGAGGGAATCCTCGATTTTCTTTCGGACTACGAAAACGCTCGTAGAGTTCTCAGCTCAGATATCCCGAAGTCCAGGACGAGGATTTTTCCCCGTCTCCTCGAGACCCGGGACTAAATGAGAGAATAATATCGTTGAAAGGACTTCTCCGCGCGTAGATTCGGACGCTCGCGACGCGAATGCTGTCAGAGAAAAAATGAGGAGGTAAGAGGAGATTTAACTTCTGTGTGCAGGGTTGAGAATCCCTTCAAAGGTCGGAGCCGCACCGATCCGTCTCAGTCTCACTTTGACGGAGATTTCTTCAAGATTTCTGTGCCGTAGCTGCAGTCAAAGTGAGTCGTCTTGCTGAGACTTCAAAGGTAGACGAGTCGTCTGCAAAGTTCAGGATTCTTTTAAATAATTCAATTGAGAAGCCGATTCGGCAATTCCCTCCACCTCATTCCATCGTAGAAAGAAGGAATGAATCGACGTTAGGTCTTTTACGGCATCGAAGTCGCCGCGAGATCCAGCGATACTCTATTTGAGCGGAAGCGTAGCGCGAATGGGTTTCGTGAACTCCACGGGGAACTTGATGACATTCAATATTAGATTTCCGAACCTCATCTGTTTTATCTTACAACAATCAGACATTGTGCAGAAACTCCGGAGACTTTTCGCGATCGATGCGATGTGAAAACAATCGGAAATTGGATAGAGCTCACTCGGTCGACCCGGCCAACAACTCGGGACGGTGTAATGTTTTTACGATCAGCACCTCTCCAACACTGTCAACGAGAGGTGAACCTCAATGATCCCATTTCAGTCGGTGAATGAACGATTGCCTTTGAGCCGGCGCCCGCGGCAGGAATGATTTTCGAAAATCGATCCGAAAAGAGTCCAGTTACCCTTCTACTCCGATCGGCGACTCACGGGCGGAAACGAATGCTCAGCCGTACGTTTCCAAGAGCGAGTGACCACCCGATTTCGTTCGCACACTGTTTATGAATCAAAAGATAGATTATCACCTGATTCCCGCACCGATTCCGAAGGCGGCGAGCGAGCGACCAATCGTAAAGAAGTCTCAAACAAATGATGAACTGTTGATCGACGGCTAGGTTCGTCGGTGGCTGGTGATTGTTTTTCGTCATTCCACCCAGCGCATTTTTCTTCAGCAACAGCAGCAACTGGACGGAACGTCGACCGACCGATGGCGTTCGAACCGGTGAACAGCCGTAACCGAGAGTCAAGTTGGCAGTCTGTCGTTCGGTCGCTCGCCTGCAGTCGTTCAGACAGGCATTCATTCAAACAGACGGCAGAGCGAGCGAAGAATTGTACCCGTTGTCACAGTTTCAGAGCTGCTGCTGTCGCTGCATTATGAGCGCGCTGGTGCAAGCCCCGCCTTCGGAATGATCCACTTTGACTAGCTTCCCATCGTGCGCCATTGAACACGGCGAGCGAGCGACCCAGCGAGCTTGGAAAAAATATATATTTCGGTGTCAACCTGAATTATTGCGCTCGGAATCGTCGACGTCATTATCGTGTTGATCATCATCATTGTCGTTCCCATGGACGACAACGAGCGAAAAGTCGAATAAAAGAGGTTTTGACAACAGAACCGTTCGCACACGGCATCCGACGCGCAGCTCCGCTGTGGAATATCGCGTCTCGGTATAATAAGAACACCGTCGATGTCAACGCTCGACAGACACAGTCACCTGGGAGAATGTCGCTCCGAGACAGGAGCTCTCAGAGAGAGGAAATCAAGAGAGGGAGAATCATGAAGACCGTCTATCGGTCGGGCGGTCAGGCGTACGTAGAGCAGAAGATGGAACTAGTAGCCGATGAGTTATTTAATCAGCCGCGATTCCTTGTGATCCATCACTCAAGAACATCAGCAACCTCGGATCCGCCATCAGCGGAGCTCCTGTAGAAGGCGGCCTCCCGTTTCCTCGCCCTAACCCCATGCAGTCTCGTCCGACCGGCGACTCGATGGGGGTTGGTCTCAGACAGAACGCTGTGAGTCTCAGCCCAGGCGAACAAGATGAATGGAAGAAGCTCGCCTGGAACACGGACGGCGGCGCGCTCGGTATTGCGGTTTCGAGTCGAACTTGGATCGATGCGGTGCATTCGGAACTCGATCTTCGCACCGTGGGGAAAAAACGGAGGACGTTGTCCCGGCAATGCCGCTGTCCGCTTTGCGTCGAAACGAGACAGACAGACAGCTCATTCATCGGATGACGGCTTGTTGACCGAGACGTGGAGCGGATTTCCGGACCAGCTAGAACAGAAAATCGCTTTTGACAGCTCTGAGCTTGTGTGAAAACGAGCGCATACACGTATTTGCTCGTGTCAC